ATCTCAGTTACCATAAACAATTTCAAACGCACGTTTGCGCCCGAAAAATGCCTTTCTTTGGGTAATGGTACATCCATATACCTGGTGGACATATGTTATACACTCTTTGATCTTGTACCTTATGGATGCTTCAATGTATGGAATCAAGACAAGAGAAATGAAGTCAGCATTCAAGTTAAAATGATTCCCACTAAATGTGTCTATTTCACAATTATAGGTGCCAAAGTATTTACCCACAACCCACATATTTGTTTTCTGCTTCCTCGCACGCAGCATCCAATTACAACCTTGAAACCATCTATGACAAATAACCTTGTATACTTCCGGAGATGACTCATGAACCACGATCTCACATCACTCTTTTATGATGTACATTCGCACCGCCCTTCTTAGGCGCGCTTTATCAGCAGAAAGCATGCCCTTTGACAACACCGTTGCTCTAGATTCATCCCACATTGCTGTCCGAATTTTTTCAAGATCCCTTGTGAGGGCATCCACATCTGGTATACTTGGAAAATGATAAAGGTATGGAATCTCCCTTGAATGAAATGACACATGTGACTCGTACACTCTTGGTCTAACGGGAGGTGAAGCATGCTCCCTCGTCAAATCAGGTTCAGCATTCTCGTCCTCATCATCATCACCCTCATCAGGGAAGGGTATGTCATCTCCTGACTCATCAGCATTGTTGTCATAATCACTATTCTCTTCCTGACTCTGCGTATCTACCAGATCCCGATTAAATATGTCATCTTCGGGCAATTGAGTAAGGACATGACCTTCAAGTTGCTCGTTTTCACTGCACAACCAATAAATAATGAGTTTCTCAAATTTATCCAAACTTTACATATACACTTATCACTTCACTTACAAATCATAATGTGTTGATATCCCATGATGCACATTATCCTGTTGATGATGACTCCCGGATGAACCACCATGATCCAACACACTAAAACTAAACATATTCCAACTGGCCGTTGGTTCATAACTTGTAAAATTCATATCTGGACGGTACCTACTGTGAAATATATGAGTGTTAATACAAATTCAATACATAAAAATAAACATTGTAACACAAAGAAAAATTAAAGTTTACCACTCGGCTTGTGGATTATGAAAACTAGGGGAGCAATTATTTTCCCGCTCCTCATTTGCCCCCGGAGATAAGTTTAGATCAAGCAAAACTCTTTCACCCAGAGCCTGTTCGGCTAAAACTGCTCCAAAATAACCACCCGATGATTGAGGGATATCCCTACTTTGCGAAACCTCATTATTGCGAATGTTTTAAGCCTTAATGTACAATTCTAATATTTTTATCACAAGAAGTTTCCGGTGTTCATCCGGAGTCCTTAAAAAATCTTTTAGAGTTTCATCGTCTTCGATGTTAAACTCAGCATAGCAAGCAACCCCTTGCGGAGTAACAGAATACGGATATCTTCCGGTTACTTTAATATTCACCGAACGTTTACTCACACTCATTTTTTTACATAACAACGATATCAATGTATCGTACTCCATTGTAAGTGGCAACTTAGCATGACACTGTGAACGCCTATAGCATACTGAGTTATTCTCCACCACAATCTCACCTCCCCAATATAATGAAACCCTAAGTTTTCGCTCTTCGGACATTATGACAAAATGCAAAATAACTTAACGAACATATATTTAGCGAACAAATATTTCGGAAGACTTGAAGCATCCTTAATGGATTTTTACAAAATCCTGAAACTCCTTAAATAAGGAAAAAACCAGTCCGGGGGTATAATTATTTGATGTATAGTGCCTTAAATATGCGCGCTATACCCCTATGAATTATTAGTGTGTCAGTTAAGTGTATAAGAATTATTGGTGGGCCCAATATTTATGTATAGCACGGTACATATGCGCACTATACCTATAGCGCGGCTATTCACCGTGCTATACCTTAACGAACAAATGTGCCGTTAAGGTATAGCGTGGTAAATAACCGCGCTATATGTATAATTGTGATGACTCAAAATGTCATCTTTAAATTTAATAATTAATTCTGTATTCTAAGACCTCTAAAAGCACTATTTATCACTCCTCAACTTGCGTGCACAATCCGTATAATTTTTCGAAAAGTTTTTATGTGAAAAATAGATTAAAAGATGAAATAAAACTTTAAAATTCAACTGAGTTGACTTTGGTCAATATTTTGAGTAAACAGACTCGGATCAGTATTTTTACAATTTTTATAGGTCCGTATCATGATTTGGGACTTGGGCGTATGCCCGAAATCAAATTCCGAGGTCCCTAGCCCGAGATATGGAATTTTGATGAAAAATTAAAAGTTTGAAAGCTTAATAATTTTTAAGAATTTACTGATGTTGGATTTATTGACACCGGGTCCGTATTTTGGTTCCGGAGCCCAGTATAGGTCCACTATAATATATGACTTGTCTGCCTACTTTGGTGAGAATCGAAGTTGATTTGACGTGATTCAGATATCCGGTTGTAAAAATATAAGTTTTAAAGTTTTTTTGAAAACTTCCTTTAAGTTGGTGTGAGATTCGTAGTTCTAGGTGTTATTTTGGTGATTGGATCGCGCGAACAAGTTCGTATAATATTTTAGGACTTTGGTGCATGTTTGGTTTGGAGCCCCGAGGGCTCGGGTTGGTTTCGGGTGGTTAACAGATCATTTTTGAACTTGAGGAAACTGCAGAAACCTGCTTCTGGTTTCCTTCTTCGCGTTCGCGAAGAGCAAATTGGGGTTGGCATATTTTGTGCTTCGCGTTCGCGACAGAGTGAACGCGTTCGCGAAGGCTTGAGGTGTGAAGCTTCGCGTTCGCGATCGAAGCCTCGCGTTCGGGAAGGGAAAGGGGCTGGCCAGGAAAATTGCCTTCGCGTTCGCGAAGGCCAAGCCAGGCAAGCTTCGCGTTCGCGAAGAGTAAAATTGGTCAGCAGGAATTTGTGCTTTGCGAACGCGAGGCACTGACCGCGTTCGCGAAGGGTAAAAGTTCCAGAAACAGAACTTAAGTTCTCGAAAATGGGATTCGTCCCATTTTCAACCCTTTTCCATTTTTGAGCTCGGGTAAGGCGATTTTTGAGCGATTTTTACGGAAAAATATTGGGGTAAGTATTCCTTATCCTATATTGATTATATTTCATAATTCCATACTCATTTACATCATGAATCCATGAATTTACGGAAGAAAAATTATATTTTTATAAAATCTTCCAAAAACGAAAATTTAAGATTTGAAGGTCCATTTGACATCGTAATTGGATAATTTTGTATGGTTTGACTCGTCTCAGAATGGGTGTTCGGATTTTATAAGTTTTTTCGAGATTTGAGACGTGGGTCCCACTGTCGAATATTTAAATAAATTTTGAATTTTTATCCGAAAAATTAGTAAATTCATATAGAATTAATTTCTATGATTCGTATTGAGTATATCAAATTCTTTGTGAATAGATTTGAAGCTTTTGGAGATAAATTTAAAAGGAAAAGCTGTGGTCGAGTAATTGAATAGAATTTGCAAAGCGAGGTAAGTGTCGTGGTTAACCTTGACTTGAGGGAATGGAATCCTTAAACTATTTATTATGTGAAATGCATGTGAACGACGTATAGGCGAGGTGAGGAGTGTCTATACGTCGTCAAATTAATTGTTTGCATAATTACTTGAAAAATCATAAATCGTTTTAAATCATGAATTAATTGTATAATAATTGTTTCTCTCCTATTCTTTGTCAAATATTAGTTCTTGAATTCCTGCATTAATTGTTACATGCTATTTGATTTATGTGTCTTAATTGTTATTTGACATTTAATATATTAAATATAAACGGCCTATTTTCTCTCTGATTTCCATAACAAATTATTATTTGTCATTATTTATTTCATAATTAAATCATAATTCTTGTATGCTTGTTGTCTTAAAAATTTTATATTAATTGTTGCATTTATTAGGGCAATTTCTTCTATAAGAATTGGTAAATGGATATATTGGAGGAGCGGGTTACATGCCGCAGCAGAATTGATTGAAATATATATTGGGGGATCGGGTTGCACGCCGCAACGGAAATGAAAGCAAATATACACACACACACACACACACATA